AATAAATGCCCCACAAAAGCTTTGATCCCTTGGAGGAAAGCAGAGCAGAAGGCCTGGAAACATTTTGACACGCCTTATGCGTTAGTTGCACGCCATCCCCCTTCATCTGAAGGCTCGTGTAAACGGGGCAGGTGGCAGATCTCAATTCTATTCTGGAATTACTTTGATAAGAGTTACAAACACTTCCCTGAAGTTTGTTTGTTCCATCAAGCTACTATGCGTTTTTAACGACACAATGTCTTGGTCCTCATAATTTTGGCCACCCTGTATTCTGGGATACCGATAACACCTGAAAGTGAATACCACCTCTTTGTCGTGTTTTGCCCCGCTCTACCGAGGCACTGAATATTGCTCCAAGTGAAATCTAAGAAATATTAACGCAGCATCTGTTGATCAATCTTTGCTAAAGCGAACATTTGTCGCTTGGGATGATGCTCATGGAACTTACCAATAGGTATTGATAAGCGAAGTGTCGCCGCGCCCATCAAATCGACACTTATGACCCCTCTCGTTCCATATCTTTCGTAAGTTAACAGCGTAGAACTCTACGAAATTGTTCCGACATCAAGCGTAAAGCGACTTTCAATCTAAGCGAAAAGCTGAAGAATTTTCGATGCATGCGCTTGAAGCTTCATTTATAGGGCAAAAATACTGTGGCATTGGGAGAAGGGTGAACCTTTCGTCGGTAGGTTACCTACGAGGAGGGTCGTACTTGGTCCACGAAAGGGGGAGGGGCGGGGCGGTGGAGAGCGCAGGTGCCAAATGCGGACCACGCGGCAGTGTCTCATCAGTAGAAGTCCTGTAAATGGTATCACTGTAGTGAACCAGACTGTGCGAAAACTAAAGATAAAGGATAAGGATAAAGCATTTGCCGTTGATCAATCCCTTTTTGGGATGCGGCACGCATTCTACTTCCATTTGTACATTCGTAGTGGCGTTTGAATGCGATGTGGCCTATACAATGACTTGCGGGGGCCAGCCGATGTACAAGTCAGTGTTTTTATCCTCCCAGACAAGTCTGGTACCAATTAACCGACCCGGAGGGATGGGCTTGGTTGGCCCGGGCGACTCACGACCCAGGATTTGATCCCCGGACCGCTCGCGTGGTAAGCGCGCCACTTGCCACTACACCACTTCCGCCCTAAACTGAGACCACTTAAAGAGATTACCATAAAGCTTGTGTGCAACGCTGAAATATGTGTGCCACTTGTAACGGTAGCAAGGCCATTTTTTTCTCAATTTTCAGACCACTTAGTATTTTCTGAAAGCGCCGATCCTCAAATTCATCACGCTGACTTTATTCCATAAATAAATATAACTGTAACTAGGCTATGCCTTTTAGCGACACAGCTTTAGTTGTCGAGCTGGATTTATGCATATTCAGTAATCTTGAATATGAAAAGTCATTCCCGTCTTCCCTGCTTTTTCTACTAAGGTCTTGCGAAGAAGGAATTGTTGTGCTACAGCAGTAGACATGTACTGCGACAAAGTGATCATGCTGTGCTTCTTACCTCTGACTGAATGGCAGCGTTACAAACAATAAATTAATATGTTTTGTTTTCACAGGTATCGACTACACAGCCAGCAATAAGTATCAGGGTGAAGATTCGTTCGGAGGACGTTCACTGCACACGATTCATCCTAATATTATGAATCCATATCAACAGGTTGGTTTGAATTTTCTGCAGGGGCTTTCTTTCTCTTCATACGACAATGCCATTTTGAATGATAAGGATGGCGTTTAGTGCTGTCATCGTTTTAAGTCTATCACCACAGCCCCGCCCCACGATTCCACTTTGAGGGCATCCCGGGGTGAGTGGGTGTGTGGGAGCGTTCAGTAATGAAGACGGGATTGGGAATGATCCGAAAAAAAATGGGAAAACAAAAAAACCGCCAATTCGCCCCAAACAAGGCCCTCCTCCTCCCAGAATCATTCCACTTTGGGATAGGGAAGGGGCGTGCTCGGACGAGTTTATTTATTTTGGTCGTACCAACTGCTATTTTTCGATCTTATGCTTTACCTTGAAAAGTCACTTTGCGTGTACCGCGGCGTTATCGCCGATTCTCAAAACAACCGCGATGGGCGGGAGAGTTGCATAGGGGAAGGGGATCAATGGTTGGGAGTCCTTTCATAAGAGCACTTCAATCGCGCACTTGAGCGCAAACATGGCACGACTTCGATACATGTTTAATGCTCTCACTTGCGACATGCTTCCTACTAAAAAGCCTATTCCCGGAGACTTGCCTGGAAAGGAACGTCTCGGGATTAAACTGGTGTGCTTTTCGCGCACGAAGCTGAAGTGTTGTTGCGAAGTGGACCGACAGTAAACAAAAGGAAAAAGGATTCGCCAAAGAAATGAGGAACCGACGGTGAGCTCGGAAGAGAGAAGATGGGCGAGAGAGCACAATGGAGTGAGAGCGCCAGTTACCAGCACGCTACGGATGAGCAAAAATGGAAGCGGTCAAAGCAAGCATCTCAAAGCACTGACGCCCTCGATGCGCACTCCAGAGTCGTGAAAAGGGGGGCATCTACGGCCTTCCGAGCAGCTCTATCCTACCCACTGTCAAGACTTCTACGCAGTCGTCCTGATTAGGCCCAAGAGTGGATCCTCTCCATAATTGTGAATAGCGAACTGTAGAGAGAATTACTTCTTGTCGAAGATCCGAAAGAAGTGATTCAACGATAACGCAACGACGTCGTTGAATCTTATTGGCCCTGTCGATTATTGTGAATTTCATGAACGAGCATCAAGAGGGTTACGATTCCTCATTTCTTATGCCTAGAAGAGCAATGGGTTATTCTAGCACAAGGACATGCATATTCTCTCATATTATTTGGCAGAGCCTTCATGATTACGTCCAACCATGGATCCAACATTATTGAATACCGCTCTGAAATTTAGGGAATCAAGCTTCGAAGCCGTGCTTCTTTGAAGGCGTCTCCATCTTGACAGAATTGAGTTTGCTCGCACACGAGCGAACTTGTAATAAGAAGAGTCACAAATTTGAGCAAGTCATGTGAGGCCGATGGCCTCAACATGGTCACACTTGGCCCTGTATCCCTAAAACCAGTGATCACGATGACGAGGCAGTGCGTTGTGATGCCGTAATTGAAACGTCCATGGGACGGGTCCATCGCGTGCTGGATCTGTGTAGGGCCATCTGTTAGTCGGAAAACTCTGGGACCGAACTGATGTGTGGATATTTGCAAGTTACGGTGGAGATAAAAGTGTGGCGTCAGTAATGAAGAATAGAAGGAACTGACAACAAGGAAAATAAAGAAAGATCCTTTCTTCGATTTTGTAGGGTACAATAGTGCTGTGCAAAGCATATCATCTGGAGCCTTAGCGCTTCGGACTTGTGAAATCATCTCGCCATTTGTGTACATGTTCCCCGCTTGCGAACACCGATTCTCGGGGAAAGGCTCGATTTCGACCTGAAGTCCCCAACCTTGCCTTGGATGCTCTTTCACTGACCATCAGTCACTGCTTTGCAAGTCTCCAGGCAGATCCGTTTGACAGTGGCTGAGGACTGCGCATAGGTAGTTCCATGGACGAGCTGCTACGTCCATTGTTTACTGCCACGGCGATCGCTCCAAGAAGTACAAATAAATTTTTGATATATGAGAAGTCATGATTTTGACCAGCATCCGTGAATTTGATGACATAAGGGTGCCATTAAATAAGGATGATACTTACATTTCAGACCGTCATTAATCAACCTTCTAATCGTTAAGCTCCGCAGATGCCTACACTTAATTTAAAGGAGCACATCCTCAATATATCAGTTAGAGCACATTGTAATATTGCTTTTTACACACATCACAAGAATTTTCCATGGATTACAGGTGAGGGAAGATGATCGTCATATTTTGATAAACGGGCTGTGGAAGAGTCTGCTTCTACTTGGCGAGGACATTTAAAAGAATCTCCACGGACCAGTGGACATGGCGGACCGGAAGTTTTTGTGACGAAATGCATGGTAGGTACGGATCCACGTGTAGAACGCACGCACGTGGACAGGATTCACTTCAAAGCTTCCCATGAACGTGGATCCGTACCTACCATGCATTTCGTCGCAAAACCACTTCCGGTCCCGCTCTCCTGTCAATGGTCCGTGAAATTCCTTTAAGAATATTCTTACGTGAAACTTTCATCGACAGCGACACCCTGTAGGACGAAAATATCAACGTGTGCGCCGTGGACAGAGTGTCTCTTTGCCACCTCTGTATATGTTTCAAACTTTCGCATGAAGAAGGCTCTTTTTGCTCGATTCAACTTTCGGCATTTATGTTCTGAAGCTTCCCTCTTCGTTCTTGGATCTGCAAGGCAATATATCAATTACCATGAATGTAACTAGCAGTGATTAATGACTATTGATGAATGCCTATAATAAAGATGCGGAAGACAAAAAGAGAACAAGTCGTCAATATGTTGAAATGGTTGAAAAATTCTTGACATGGTCTAATTTTCATACGAGTGTGTTCAGGTAATTACGATTCTCGGGCGAACGTTGGCGCCGTTCGCTAGCACCGGTTGTATTCCCGTGTACGGGTTCGGTGATGCGAAAACTGGTGACTGGAGTGTGTTTCCGCTCAAGCAGAACGGGGACTGCAGAACTCTCGAAGAAGTGCTGAAGTAAGTGTGCCCACTACTATGTCTCTGTGTCATCGTTTACGATATTTACTGGCTCTGGCAAATATCCTTTCGTCATTTTACTAACCATAAGTAAAAATCTACAGTATCTGTGGACAAAATATTTCTGAAGACAAAGATTGCGGAAGATGTGAGGGAACAATACGAAGCAGGTTCTGCTTCGGAAAGTGCACTGACTGGCGAATCCCAGTCAGTGTACTCTCCCCAATCATTCTTGTACTCTTCACAAACTTGCTTGAAGTCTGCACCATCTCGGCACGCTTACACGGACCTTGGAATGATTTGTTCTATTAACTGCTGTTTTTTATCACTCTTCTCAGTCCAAATCACATTACCATCCTATGTGGTGTGAAGGTTTAAAGGCATGCCCCAGGATCACATTGGTGTGGCTCTTGCACACGAATGCGAATGTATTGGTGCGAAAGTGGGCCGGCAGTAAAGAAAAAAGGAAAAGAATCCGTCGAAAACGTTAGGTTAAGGGCTCACTCACCTTCCTAATCGGCTGTGCTAAGGGAATGAGAGACTAAGCGCGGAGAGGAGAGTATGAGGCGAGAGAGCGCTACAGATGAGAGAGCGCCAGACAACAGCCTGATAAGAGAAAGTCTGCAGCTTCAGCAGCTTACTTTGCAAGGCCCAAAGTGCTTCGTTGGTTTCCGTGCACGGAACGCCACATTTGTGAATT